TAGGGAAATTTGTCTTTCTAGCCTAAGAAATCCAACTTCCTGAGCCCCATTTATCATAAAATTACTCCACAGGATGCAAAAAGTTACCATGAAACTTTTAGAAACAATGATTGTCTAACAAAGCACTCACAGGTTGATATTTTCCATTATAATGATGATTTTTAAAATCCGCCATAAGGGCCCTTTTGTCAATTATGGTCACATATACTTTGCATGAGTTTCAGTCGATAAAATCCATTCAGTTTCATAATAAAAATGCCTTTGTGGTACAATCACATTTATACCTACATAAAATAATAATAATAGTGCATACATGTAGTTGGAAACTTTTGCAATTTTTTGGCAAAATTTATTAATGTTGCATGCTGTCAGCAGTTAATAGATCTTTCATCATTTATGTACAACGATGCTGTCAGCAGTTAATAGATCTTTCATCATTTATGTACAATGAGCAGCAAATCACAAAAATATTTCCAGCTATAGACAGTGGCAGATCCAGGGGGATATATGGGTTCAATGGAACACCCCTTTTGCAGAGGAATTTGTTTTTGCAGCCATTTTATAATTAATTAATATATTTATGCTTTTAATTAAAATTAACGAGCCACACCCACTTAATGGCAAACCCCCTTTTAATTTTTCTAAATCCACCAGTGATAGATGACAATTACATGTAAGTAATACTTAAGACATGAACAATTCATACTTTGACCAACTTCCAACTTTTCCTCGGGTAAGTCATCAGTTGCTAAATTCAAATAACATTGGTAAAGTTGATGACGAAGGGACAATGAATAACATATGTTCGTAAAATTTCCCATAATGGATGCCATTTGCTTGAAATATCTGTGCTTTGCTTCATATCTCATAGTCCAGTGGTGCACTAATGGTCCATACCTATTAACTATACAATCATATAATGTTAATGACACTAGCTAACTGTAACATAAGTCTAGGAATGTGTATCATGTAATGGAGCTTTGGAGTTATGTGCAAATTAGGATACAACATTTTGAGTGAAATGTGATGGTCAGAAATTAAAGACTCCAAATAGACACAATCATTCTTTTCAGCAACTGGTCCAAAAATTATACTCATAATTTCCAAAAGACGCAAGTAATTAATCCAATTTTCATTATTTTCTGGTATAAGATGGCCAACCACTAGCGGCAAAAAACGACCCAATGTCCACATTTGAGAAGCTAATAAGAGAGTTATATAAAACTAATAACAATATCATTACCATTTTGCTTTAAAGAACCATCTGATAGACATGATGAATCTAATGGTGTAGGTTTATTATCATCCATGTATTTCAAATTTAAATTTCTGAAACATTTATTAACATAGTCTAGTGTAAACAGCTTATCACAACTTATAAATTGCTATAAAAAAGGAATAAATTTTGCGTACATTATATATACATGTACCT